CATCATCATCATCATCATCATCATCATCATCATCATCATCATCATCATCATCACTCTTCCAATTCTCTGTTCTGCTCAACCGCCTTGTTTTATTAATTTTTTTCCTTTTTGCTGTATGTTTTAAAAAAAATATTTGAGTGTCGTCTGCACTTCTGTTTTTTCCCCGCCTAGCACGTTCCTTATGTCTGGCATTGGTGGTGCTGCAAGGGTTAGGCTGTTAATAACCCCCCCCCCCCCGAGCAGTGCTACTGACTGAACTGTCTTTAGGCCTTTCCCAAAGGGGGGACATTAACCATGTTCTTATGCACAGTAGAGTTGTAATAGTGGGCTGATTGATCAATGTCATGCTCATAACTGTGCCGGAACTGCAACAGGGAACTCCTGCCTTTTCTTTCCTAATCCTTACTTTCGTCATTTCCCCTCTACTTCTCTTGTATGTTTGTCACACTTTTGTGACCCGCTATTTCCGGGGTGCCTTGATAGTCGAAGCAGACTTTGTGCTGTTGAAGCTTGAAAGGTGAGCAGAGTAAGTCTGATTCCCTGTAAGGATTTCTCTGTTGACATCCACCAAAGATACTACACTATCTTTGTATCCACCCCTTGGCGCTCATATGACGTTATAGAGTTGCGAGGGCCGTAAAACCTCTACTAAAAACTAAAGGCTGTTAATCATTGTACTTAAAAGACCTGAGTTCAAGTCCCAAGTTGGGAATTTTGATTTTGATTTAAATGTGGGCGGTTGGTGGTTGCTCTAGTATAGTTTGCTCTTTCTTTCCTATCAAACATATACCGTCCTTATCTCCCCTCCTTTTTTGTGTTTGTTACTCTCTAGTAACACCTCTGATCTTCAGCATTTGTATGATCACCTTATTGTGTTGAAAGTGCGGTAAAATCCTTACTAAAATTAAACTTTAAAAAATCTACTATCTGCGTTCATCTGTTAAGACCTTGTTGTGTCTCACCCAGCTCGAGTTTGCCCCGGCCTGAAGGGTGGAAACAGCCTGCCTCCTAAATGATATTCTAAATTATGTCGATGAGGTGTTTAACATTTACACAATTCCACTCCTTTTGACCGTGATGGCCTGACACTGTATCTCTCTCTCTCTCTCTCTCTCTCTCTCTCTCTCTCTCTCTCTCTCTCTCT